CCTTCCTACCTTCCTCTTCTTCCTTTCTCTCTCAAAATTGTCACATCAATAATTTAAATACATTATAAATATAGTCATCTTGTAAATGATTTAAACAGTAGGATATTTAACATAAATATTTCTCTTCTCCCTGCTGCCTGCCCTCTTTGCTATAAGCAGATATTAGTTTGGCATATCACCTTTCAATACTTGTTGAATGCATTTCCTTAGATATAATTATTTTCTCATGTGTCTTCACATTAGAAACCCCTTTACCACTCATTTATATATCAAAATATGTTATAGGCTGTTTGTAACAGCCTATACCACTGTTACAAACAATCCAATAAATACTTGTAGGGTATACGTTTGTGTTGTGTGTGTGTGCATCTTTGTGAAATGTGTGGTAGCATTGCTGTAGCATAGCTTCCTTCCTTAAAATGGAATTATTTAGCCAAAGTTGAACAGGACCTGTTACTTGCTTTCTTAACGGGAGTGTATTTTTTTTTTTTTTGGTCAATTTGATGTAAGAAAGTAAATTACGCTCGATTGCAGTTTCAATTTGCATTTTAAATCACTAGCCAGTTTGAACATTTTCGCACATGTTCATCAGTCATTTGTACATGTCTGTTTACTGGTTGCTCTTATCTTCTCTTTTCTTACTAGTATGCTGATCATCTTGTAGACTTGTGAAGACAAATATACTACATAAATTAATTCAATTGCTGATAAACATGTTGCCAGTTGCACCTCCCATGGTGTTACTTGTGTTTTGAGATTGTTTAAGACACTTTTGTTCCCAGTGGTTTTTTTTTGTTTGTTTTTTTTGTTTTTTTTTTAAGATGATTTGTTTTTGGCTTCTGAATTTTGTAGCTACTTTAGCAAGATTTCCTTATACTTATTTAAGATTTTTTTTTCTGACAGCTTATAGTCATTTATATATTTTACAATTTAATCATGAAGAAATTGTTTTGTCCTTAGTATGAAGTATTAGTCTAATGTTTTCTCTGTCTCTTTCTTCTCTCTCTTGCCCTTATACAAACAGTGTGGTCAGTATTCCACTGGCCAGCT